GCGGTGATTAATAGGAAGCTGTTTACAGTAATAGAATGTTCTGTTCTCTAGGACAATGATGCAATTCCATTGTGCTATTGTTCTTGGAGTCTGGGGTGGTAGACTCACATGCAACAATTCAAATGTTAATTCAAATGAAGCAATTTAACGTTAGTTCTGTCACAATTATGTACTGTGCATTATAGAAGTGTACTGTATGTCAGACTGACAGTAGATATAGTCCTGTATATACATTTCATCAATAATTTCTGTCCTTTTTATTGTTAAAATATAATTATTTGTTTAACAAATTGAATTAAACTAAAAAACCCCGACATAAACCAATTCGATCTCTTAAACAATAAAAAGGGGAAAAGGTAGCCAAGGTTTTCTGGAGCGCTCTGAATTTATAACAATTCACTTTGATTCATAATCCACCACAGCTTTTCTGTTTCCTTTTAGTTTGAGGGTATTTCTTATCCTCCTGAGTGCATTTACCCTTTGAAACATTAGGGTGCAAGCCTTCTAAAGAAGAAAGCGTTTTTAAGGACCGCTGCAGTAATTCAGAATCATGTTTTACCACTTGGTTAACAGTCACGTGGTTATTTTGTACTCAGTTTGCACAGCTCTTACTCTAATGCTCCCAACCATGAGTTCATCTCTCTGGAGTGGCAGCTGCTTCATGTACAGTAACTATTGTTTCTTTTCATTTGAGTCGAAACCTGTTTATTTTCTGTATCTAAATGTCCAGTATCATTGCTTGGTTTTTGTTCATTTCCATTTTTTTTATATCTAGTTTTTACATTTTCACACTTCAGTATTATTTTCTGTCAGCATTGGAAATCCTTATCTGTCACTTGAAAGTTTTATTTCGTGTCTGGCAGTTTGTGTGTCTCACAACACTAGATTGATGTACAGTACGTATCTGTGCTCCCACAAGCAAGATTAATTTAAGAGCGAACCTGACGCCTCTGCCAAAAGGTTGATCATGTAGATGGATTTTCTTGCCTTGTGATATTCAATGGCTCCTGGTTGCCTTGGAGGAATTCTTGTTGTTTGCTGCAGCATCTGAAATAAGTTTGCGAGATAGTTCTGCTTTCCTTCTTAATAACAGAATCATTCACATTTTTTGTACGTTTGCGCTAAAGAATAATAATGTTGTTGTAACTCTGACATGGTGGAATCAATTTTAGCCCAATAGATCTGCCCTTGTACTTAACATTAGGCAGCAGGAAGGCTTTGGAACGTCAAGTGGAAGACGGAGCTCCAGTCCTAGGTGGGACGGTGCTGTTAGACCCTTGAGCAAGACCCTTCACTGAGATTTCTCCAGTAAAATACATGCAGGTGTGCAGTTGTGAGTCGTTTTGGATAGGCGTGTCAGCCTCATTAATAAATAATGCCAAAATAACTCTAGAGTTCTTCCTGTGGTCTGTGTCTCACTCCTTTCTGAATAATCTGCTATCTTTCAATTGCAAATTGCAGAATTCCCTCTGGGGAAAAAACTGAAGTGGTCGGAATTATGATTCATTGCTGTTGATCATATCCGCAAATATTTTGTTTTACACCGAGATGTTAACTGCAAATGTGAACTGTAAGTGTTGTACTGCCAGAAAATACACATTTCTGTCCATTTAAGGGATGGTATGTTCCTGTTCTTATGCGGGAGTGTGTGGGTTACAGAGTTTACCTCAAATAGGAAATTAATTACCCCGCTTTTGAGCCTCGCATTTTGACTCCAAAGCCTATCCCTCTGTACTTCTGTTTTATGGAAATTAAATTATAGCATAATGTCACTTACTTTATTAGAACAGAAAGGCTATGAATAAGAATCAGCCTGCAGTTGTCATAGCAACATGAAGCCTGAAACCTCACAGCAGCTGTTTTTATGGCAGAATTTGGGCAGCAGGGGGGCTATCGTTGGCAGGGGATTATGGGAAATGAGTCTCAGCGCTCCTATTTTCTCGACCTTGACCCACGTCAGCAGAATGGAGCTTTGTGCCGATTGGTCCTCTGAGGGATGTTTGTGTTTTATTTGTGCGCGGTATATTTAGCAACGGCGGTGGCTTTGAAAGTTCGGGTCTGCCTTTGTTTTCTCACCATGCCAAACTCCTTTACCTCGGTCTCAGTAAATGAGCGCAGTTATGCTCGGTTTGTAAGTATTGTGATGTATTCCACCATGTTCTGTTCGATCTGCTAATGTTATAAACTAAATCTCACGTTTATTGATTGAAGGATTCAAGAGAATCCCCATGGCGTGTAAGTTTGCAGCCTTACCTGAATTGACATTCATTTCACACTTAGAAGGTGCTAATTAAACTGAGGCACAAGATCCCTGTCAAGTCATCCACATTGCATTAAAATTAGCCTCTCGTAATTTAGATTTGCATGGCTGAAAATTGAGCTCTGTGAAGTAATAAAAATAATCTGTGGTGCGTTGGACCACAAAAGCACGGGAAACAAACTAAAAACTAGAGGAGTACAAACTGATATGGTTTGGAGGTTATTAAAACAGACTTTACATTTTTTTGAAGGCCTACGGGCAATTATAGCACTTTTCCAGTCTGTCACTATTTTTTGGCTATAAATAAAGGATAGTACATTTAGTATTACGGCCATTTTTATTACTGTAGCTGCTCTGCACAGTGAGGCAAAATGTACGCCAGTAATATTTTAATTGACTTCCCTGTGTAATATTATATATACTGTATATACTATTATTATTGTACTATGTTTTCTGAAGAATAAAGGGCAATTAATTCCACAGGAATAAAATTGTTCCCTGGTCATATGTTGTGTTTTTCCCCATGTCCCTTACTAATCTGGAATTCCCTAACATATATGCTCTGTGAAAAAAGGATATTTAAGCATGGTCTGAAACTCAATATTTAGAATTTATTCTGGGTTTAATAGGACAATACTAGAACATCAGAAAATGTTATCAGCAGTAAATTCAATTTGGAGAGGAGAGAGGATTTGATAGCATGCCATTAATACAGTAAGCAGACATACTGTCCTGCTTTATTTTTTGATCTATAGTGTCAGATCGGGTTTCTTCGAGATTGAATACAATACAGACATCTGCAGCTATTAGGTAAAACATATTTCTTTGGGAGAGAGAGAAAAAGAAACATTATCGAGGAGTTGATAACTTCAATACTGTAGGAAGAAGAGACAAAATGCAACAAGCACAAGGGTACAGTCATATAAGAGACCTAATCCCAGGAATCTGATCAGGGTGTGTTGAGTGCAGTTCCTTACATGGTACTGGGTAAATAAGGCAGCAGCAAAGTGAAAGCAACAAAAAGTGATTAAACTATAATGACACATAATAATGACTGAGCTCTTGGTCAGATTGTACAACAACCCTATCCATATGCATAGAGGTCACATCTCTGCCTTCAATACAATCCAGGGCTTTTTTGTTCAAATCTGAAGAATTTACATTCTCTAGGTAAGCATGGATCCATGTGGATCCCTCCTAAACTACCCCACTTTGGAGAATCATACAGACAGGAAACACGGCTTGAATATATGTCAACTCTAAAACAAAAACTGTACAGCTTAACCATAGTTTAAATCAGACACTTCCTTCAGTGGGTATTGAAGATATCAAAGAAAGCTATAGGTGCGAGGGCCCACAGAACAATACCTGACAGTTTTCACAATCCAGATTTTAGCTCAAGGTATTCTTAAAACTTCTTGAGCAAAAAAAAAAGAATTTAGAATGATGATTTCATAACGAATCTCCCGCAACACTTTTTTTGACATGAGATACTACTGACGTCTGTGACTTTTTCTAAATGCAGATGTTGTTATCTCGCGTTAAAACCCTGAACGCGAAGGCGAAACGCGGTCTAATTGCTTGAAAGTTCCCCTCTGTGAACCCGTGAGGGGAACATGAAAGCCAGCTCGGGTTATGTCACTATGGGGACTCTGAAGAGCCGTTCACTCCCTTCTGAGGAGCGAGGCTGTTGTTTTTGAAGAGGCCGGGCGAATGGGCTCAGCGGCGCTATGTGGTAGGTTGGTGCTTCAGGAATGCTAATGCTTCCTCTGTGGTTTGTTAGGAGCAGAGTGATTAGCCCTCCTGTCCCCTGGGGGCAGCAGCCCTCATGTATCCAGCCGTAATTTATTTTGACATCAACAGGAAGACTAGCCTGTCTCAGGGAGCTGGGGGGCTGCTGGAAGGATTTGATTATGATTTGTTGAAATCCTTTTTTTTTTTCATGATTGCGAGGAACCTAAGAAACACCCCTAAAGCGCCTACATACCCTCAGTGAGCCATGCAGTCTGCAATATGAAGGCGCTGTGTGTTATTCTGCACTAGGTGTTGATGCCCCAGTAGCCCTTCTCAGAGAGCACCCAGCCCCTGTGCTACTCTTGGCAACCTGCTTTATCATACTGGGGGTGTCCTCAAGCCCACAGGAGTTATGTCCTGCTGTTTAATTAGATCATTCGTTTATTATTAATTAGTCTCCAGGTTGTCATTGTAAAGAACTGTTTGTTTTCAACTGACGTATGTGGTTAAATAAAAGATTGTGTGATATTGTTAAGTTTCTTCTAGACAGTGGTTTGTTGGTTCAGATCCCAGGTGTTGTAACCTTGAGCAAGGTACTGTTCTTCCATAAGATTGTTTCTGTAAGCATGCCCTGGCAAATGACTGGATACTGGTAATGTAAATTGCTTTAGATCAAAACATTAGTCAAATAAATTAATAATGGTTGCTACAGAGGTTATGCCTATGTAGAGTGGTGGGAATTCTTGATTTGGTCATTGGAATCAATATACCCATAACCAGGCATGGAAAATGTTCGAGGAAAAAAAAAATTAACAGGAGCGGGCTGAAAGGAGACAGCATAGCCGATATTATTTGCTTATATTTGTGTCTTCGTGTATGAAAAAAAAATACGGTTGCATGTTCGAAGGCACAGATGAGATAACATTCGACTGCCTGGTGAAAATAGCATTGTTTCTCTGTCAACATAAAAAAAAAGCTTATCTTGGATCTGTTTGTTCTTTTGCAGGCTCTGTTTTATCAAGAAGGGAAAACGGCAACCGTGAACAGAAGAAAACCTCATTAGAAAAACGCCTTGTTGCTGAGGACAACCCATTTGTAAGTCTTCAAACTACATTATTGCACTGTGTCTGGGATCCCCCATTGTGGTCCTGGAGATCTGGAGCGTCTACAGGTTTTTTTAGTCCAGCTGAGTTTGTAACAATCTGAATCAGCTAATTGCTGGCTTCACGGGACCAGTCATTAAAGTCATTAAAGTTTTTGTGGTACATTTGGAAAGAGGACGGGTCCCTTCTTAATTCCACTATGGGCTTGTCCAGTTTGGCCTTCCCAGAATCCCCCCTTATTTCAACTGGTAAAGTAATTACGGCTACCTACACCTACCTGATCCTGAAGGCCGCAGCCTGCCACCGAGGTAGGTGCTGCACTATAAGGAATTATTAATGACTATATTAAATAATAATTGCGCATATAGTAAGTAATTACAATTAATATAAATTATATTTTTCTCCTGTTGCTAATACAATGGAATTGATTGCAGTAATAGCAGCAAGGCGTTATTTCATGATTTTATTGCATGGCTAACAGGTTTCAGAAATTATACTCTGATCTATTTTTAAAACACACATTGCTTGCAGTACATTTGATAGGTAGGTAGTGTAGCTACAATACAGTTCTACCTCAGCTGAATCTTTGCAAGCCAAGCGAGGGTTTTGGCTTGTTCAGTCTGCCACCCAAGAGAGATCCTTTACTGCATTCCCAGGTTATTTCTTTGGGATTTTCTGGATGTGTGCAGACCACACCAAGTGTTGTGTGGTGTTTTGGTCCAACAGCGACTGCCCTGGAGGCATGGCAGCAAAGCGAGATGTTCTAGATAACTTAAGAGACTTCACGGTGGAACTCTATTAAAGCATACAGCATAGCCATGTAACCAAAATACTGTACATACAGGACAATTAAATATATGAGAATCTGTCTGTTTTGGTTTATCATCAAATAGACTGCGATAGCGTGAGAATATTCCCCCCCCCCCCAGAGCCGTTGATGAAGTTCATTCTCATATTCTTTTTTCAAGACATGGTTTGTTATTTTTATAATGCTTTGCTTTTTTTTTAATTATACAGTACCTACATGATTGATTCTCCCACTTCGTCCTCATGAAATTAATCTTGTGTTTTCCATAAGAATCGAATTGCACAGGAGACAGTGTGGCTGCCGTCTGGGTCGCGTGAGCAGGAGAGAGCTTGGCAGAGAAAGATGATGAGTGAAAGATGATGTTTGGCTGTGTAAGGGGGTATAGTGTGGTTCTGATGGGTAGAAAGCAAGGGGTGCAGCACACACAAGAGAAGCAGGGTCCCTAATTGAGTGAGGAAGCAGCTGGGTATTCCATTTCCTTCCCAGCAGAGGTGAAGTGACTGCCTAAATGTCTTCGCTAGCTTAATCGCTGCCACCTCCTGCTTACCCTTGAGCCCTGCGGAGTATTGTTTTACGGATAATTTCGTTAGCCCTAACGAGATTTTTGCTAATTAAATCTCCTCCCGGCTGGAGACCCTCTCTCCTGTTGAGTGAAGTGATTGTTTGTAGATCTTTTTAGACAAATAAACATTTTCATTCTGAAACCTTAGGGAGGACTGATTGAGGAGAGGGCACAGCCCACCTCAAGCCTCCTGCTCCTCTGTTTCCTGGATACCGGTCTGCAATCCGGTTCCCTCACTTCCTCTTTTCCCCTCTCCCCGATTTGTACATCTAATGTTGTCTCTGTTGCTGCCATCCATTCCTATCAGCCCCGTCATTGTTGTAACATTAGAATCGTTGCTTATCTTGTTAAACCCACCTGATTTTGGAGTTTCCAGTGGCACGTCTCACATGTCTCGGCTCATGGCCGTGAACTTCGTGACTGCACGAGGGAAAATGAGGAAGATGAAGCACAGGCAGTCTTCCATGACACACCCGGCCACCAAGGCTCTCGTCACGGGCAGTGCGCGCCTGTACTGGAAGATCGGCTCCAATGAGGGCAGAGCTGCTACATTTGCTTAAAGCCCTGTCTCACTCTCTGCCCCACCCTCGGCCACGCCCTGCCTATTGTGCACTGCTGCATGGGGAATGCTGGTCACAGTTGGCTAGTGACAAGCCCCAGGCTTGACCACACTTGGGCGAGAGCTCCTACCGGTTTAGGCTCTCAGAATCTCCTCCTATCTCCTCTGTGTTTGCCTTAAGGTTTCCGATGAGGCGACATAAACTGTGACCTCTCTGATAAGCCCGCTCCCCAGCAGCTGTGAGACAGTGTTCCTATCCAGGTCCTGAAATCCTGATACCGATCATGCCGTCTTCTGCCCAGGGATTCTGTATCTGACTGAAACGGACAGTGGTGTCCCTGTCAGCTGATGATAATTTCAGGAAGGTATATGCTAAAATAGATGGTCTTAACTTCAGAAGAAAATGTTGCATAAAGATGTATAAAAGCAACCCGACATAATCAAATGGAAGAAAATCTGGACTCTTTGTATTTTTTGGCCATATTCTGTGGGTGCAAATTTTACCATAACATTTTTACTGCACAATTTCTGTACCCTAACGCAGCCTTTTGTACAGTTCCTTTGATCATTAATGGATGGATACAACAGCTGTCCTTATTTATATGAGATTCTAAAAATTCCCGTTTTTTTGTGTGTGCAGCACTCTATGAGCACCATCTGGCTAAGGGGAAGCTATAACATTTCCGAACAAACACCCGTAAGATCGTGGCAATCTACGCAGTTTCACAGATCCCCCCCGTTCGGGGAAAGCGACGGGAAGGAGGTTCTCTGACTTGCGTATCGCAGGCCACGTTCAAGGGCAAGCGAGCAGGCGCGCGCCATTGTCAAGGCTCAAACATGGTGTCAAACAAAACAAAACAAAACAGACCCCTGAATTCCTTTCATGACCTAAAACGAAGTGCAGTATCTTGCGTGCGTAAGCAGAGTCTATATGGGGTTGCCTGTGAAGAGTGCGCGGGGTTCACGTCTCACTGCGTCGCCACGCTACTCTGAGTGTGAGCGCTGTGCGGACAGCAGTGACGGCCCTGCTCCTGTTATTGCCCTCTGGAGCCCCGGGTGTTATTGTGGGAGGTGACCTCTCTCTGGTTTCACTGCCCCTGTGGGGGCACACGCGGTGCCAGCCTCGGGCCTGCCGCCAGTGTCCCATCCCCTGCCTTTCTCCTTCTTCCCTCTATTCCCAACTCCTCGGACCTTCGCCTCCCCGTGGGGCTCTGGGAAAGCCGCCCAGTGGTCTCCGAGCGCCCCCCCCGACACGGCTACGGCCGATCAGATTTCTGCCACCTGTCGCAGGGCTTAGGGAGGCGAGGAGCGAGGGGAGCTGACAGGCCGCCTGGCACCATCCCTCTCCCGGCCCTCGCCGTCCCGGAGGGCGTAAGCGGGTCGGCTTTCAAAGCGCGTGGCCCCCCTGGGGGGGCAGCGATTCCTCCTTTCACACATGTCCTGGAAACAGTTGCTCCCAAGCTGGAAAGTGGGGGATCTAGCAAGAAGAAGCGAAGGCCAGAGAGAATCGAGCCGCGGTGTTCGAGCGGGGCCGTGTCGGCAGGGGGCGTGAGCGAAACTCGTCTCGCCCGGGAACAAAGAGATTTCGAACACAACCTCCGTCCTCCGGGGTTAGCAGTTGACCATGTGTGCGCTTTTTGTTCTCTGCGTCCCGGGCTTATTATATCTAGTGCAGATGCTGTTTGACTTCTTGGGTTTGTTCTGCAGCGAATATGACTTTGCTTGACAAACAGATTCAAGCAGTGCAGGGTATTAGCATACAACATAGTTTTATGTTTCTGTTTCCAAGATATAACCTTAATTAGCTTCAACAGAACTAAATTCCATTTTATTGCTTTTGCTGTTATCTCTTTTCATCTCTCCCTTTCACAGACATTGATAAGTTTCGGCTTTGCTCAGTCTATCTAAGCTTAATTGTCGGTTTTGATGGAAAAACCCTACTGTTTTACTGATTTAACCACGAAGTGCTGGAATATGAGGTCTCTATAATTTTTTTAAAGGTTTTATTAGGACAGTGCTTTTCATACTGTGGCCATAACCTTCAGGAAATGTTAAAGATTGTTATTTTCACAAAGGTTGTCAGGCCTATACATCATATTACCTTCAGAACATAGAACAAGACAATATAGTGTGATGGGTGAGTACGCACATTTCACATCTTCATAATCCCTTTAAGTGTGTGAAGAGCAGAATTTCCAGTTATTAGGTCAATGTTAATTAAGTAAATGTGCCTGTAATAATTATGCTGATCTATTTCTATTGTAGTGGTACTCCGCTTTCCTGCTGGAATTCTTTTCTGAATTTTATATTGTGAGAATGGAGTATTTTCCATTCCTTAAATATAGAATAGCTAATGGGTTTTCCGGCCACACTGTCAGAAAAAAAGTGTTAATTCCAAAAGTAAATGCACCGATTTGGTATTGAAAATACCTTCAATAAAAAAAAAAATGTTTTTATCCTGGTGCATTTCAGAGCCTCATTTGTTTTGTTTTTGTTTGTTTGTTTTAACATGGCGATTTGAAAGGACACCTGCTAAGCTTGAGTTAAGTTTGAACTTGACCGTTTCCCCCAGGACTCCACCGTGTGTAGAGCCCGTCCGGCAGGTGTGAAGACTAGCAGGCACTGTTGGCTCTCATATTGTTCTCAAGCTCTTTTGCTCTACACTTGCACCTTTTTATAGACCCCGGTCGTCCATGGGACTGCAGACAGTCAAACGGCCCACAGCGATGACCTTTACTGTACGTACACTGCAGTTTCAGTTCGCAGTCTCTCTCTGCACCCACCCCTCCAACTTTTATTTCACCAAGCACAATTCTAATTATGTTGATTTAGCACAGAACCCCCCCCCACACACACACACACACACACACAATCTCAATGGAAGCTTATTAGTTTGAATATTTTTTATTTATTCCCGTTTCCAGGAGTCCCTGCCGGCGTTTCCAATTACTCTCGCCGCTCGGCTGTAATTGCCTTCCTGCTAATGGCCGCCAGACAATCGTGCTAAATGAGGTGAGGCCGAGAGGCTGGGAGCCCGACTTCATTAAGAGCTAATGGGATTTTATTGGGGGACTGAGGACCTGGCTCATCAGAAAGTAAGAGAGTAAGGAGAAAGCGAGAGAGAGAGAGAATGCTCTCTTGACAGCAGTTTGAAAGAGGCCTTCACAAAAGGATATGCGGTCACCTTTACACTTTTTGTCACCCATTACAGATACTAGACCTGATTCAGCCTGTGACCATTGAGTGGCATTGTATGTGAGGTGCAAAGCTCCATCATAGCTTTATTGCTTTCACATACCTGATCTGCGTATCGTGTGTACTTACAGTGTTATCTATTGTTCTGATCTCCATACTAAAACCCCGACACTACCTGACTTCCAGTGATAGTGACTGCTGTGGAAAATCCTAAAAAGGTTGTGTTCGCTCAACAGAATTAAAGTAGTAGCTGAGATACGTTCTCTGTAGGTTCTCTGATTGGTGTCCTACTACTGGTAGGACATTCAGTATCTTTCTATTCTGGACATTGACTCTTTCCATGAATAAGCTGTGAAAAACCCAAGTGCCCAGCTGTGTAGGTTTATGATGCCAGATGTAGACTTCAGACTTGTGATTGTGAGTCATTCTACAGGTCGCCTTTGTTGGCACAGACTTAAAAAATGCTCTGCGCTCTTTATCTCAAAATAACCAATGGAGAATATCAGGCAAGCCTTGGCCCTATGAGGTATCAATACTACAAAGCATGCTTTGCTGTCGGAGAGAGAGAGGGACAAGCAGACAGGTGTGCTCTGAGAAGTTTGAAATGGGGAGAATATGAAGGCCAACAGTATATAGGGGAGACCATCCTTGGCTCTGACGTGATCCCTGCTGGTCTCTCTTGGCCCCGCTCCGAGTAAATAGCCCATTAGCAAGGAGAATGGTTATTGATAAGTGTTGTATTAACTGAGAACCTGACGTTCCGTAACTGAAGATCCCTGCTGTGTGCCCAACATGCTGAGAAAATGGGGCAGCCCCACAGGAGGCCAGAGGGGCACAGTACAGGCCTCGTGTCTGATTGGCTGATAAGACCAGGCTCCACCGGCAAAATAAAATCATTTACATTTATATTTATAAGGCCAGCGATGATTAGAATATTTATATATGTTTTAGGTAATCTGCATGTGGGAGATCACAGTTGGAGGATAATTGAAGTGACTTGAATATTCTTCCCTGCCTGCAGCTTAAATACCATACCCTGCTAGGTAACCTCTCCTTCATTCTCTCTCTCGCCCTTCTTTCATTTGTCTTCTGAACCTATAGCTCTCACCTTTTCTGTCGTGTTTGTAACTGTGCTGATTTTGGCAGATGTTGAGTATAAAAGTCTGTAGGGAAGTGCTTGTTTATCCACAAAGCAGACAGTTGCCATCCCTTTTCTTTTTATGAAGTGGAACAGCTCAAAGTCATGTCTGTTCAATTCCAATCCCATTTTTCATGGAACTGATATCTTGTGCTTACCACAGTGGAGAGGAAACTGATAACGCTTTGTGTGTGAGAGACGCAAATTACAAAATATAAAACATACTGTAACTTGCAAAGGCATGCAGAAGTTTTTTTTTTTTAAATTGCAGTAGTGCTACTTCAGACGCTGCTGAAACGTAAAAACACACTCTGCGATATGGTGTGGAAGGCATTGATCGTATACATGATTGCTTGAAAAGTGCAGCAACATACCCTAAGACATGTGCTTCTGCTTACAGTCCAGTTGCTTTAAGAATTCTTTCTGTTCTTCATAATCACAGTGGGGAATAATGGGTTTGTTACTATGAAATTCAGTACAGTTTAGCAGTAATGTGTGTGTCTCATGTACCTGACTGAAATATACTTATCTATCTGAAAGCTTATGTTAGTGCTGTTATAATTTCAGTTACTCCCAATACATTTCTCTGTTGTTTATAGCCACTTCACTGTCAGATTTTTATCTCACCTTTGTACACTTTGGTATTTGTATGTCTTTTAATTGTCTTTTCAGTTCAGTGAAACTGAATTGACTGTTTGGTAAAATAACGTTCTTCTGCTAACTTATAACTAATAGTCTTTTACATGACTATTAAGTGCTGCCAGAGGTTAAGTGCTCACCTACAGGATGAATTATAAAGGGACTGTTACAGATGTTGTAAAATTTGAATCAACTGTGGATCTGACAGAAAGGTTAAATCTGTACAATATGAAGGTATCCGATTACAATGTAAGAAAACAGTTGAAATGATGTTTTGGCACCATCTGACTGTTCAGATTTCGTAGACAGTGGAACATTGCCACTGAGTCTGCTTTTATTTTGGCTGAACATATGCAGTCGTGTAACAAACGCCATTCCTTAATTATCCTCAAGACAAATTTCAAGATGTGATATTTGCTCTTTCACACGGCTCTTATTAAAAGCATCCTCTTTAGCTTACAATACAGGTGTGTCTTATAATATAAAGGATTTGCTGGAATCACATTTAGGCTGGTAAGATATTGGCATTCATTGAAAAGATCTTAACACAGGATTTAAAACATAACATGTTTTTACAATTTGTAAGAGAGTCCTTTTTTCTCATATTATTCATATCCTTATATTAATTGTAAAATGAAAGCTTTCAAGCTCTTATTTTGCCTTAGTGCCCTAAAACTAATTAAATAGCTGTGCTGAAATCCTGTAAATCTGTAGGGGTCACCCTAACTAAATAATGCAGCCATGGGCTACTTCTGTGTTAACAAATCGTGCCATAGTAAATAGCAGAGGACAAATAATAAAAATTACATCGAAAGTAGTAAAACATTCTAGCTAATTAACAGATGTCAATCAACAACGAAATCTTAAAAGTGCACCGTGAAATTTGCAAGAGATGCCCAAGACAATAAAGACAAGAAAATCTGGCACAGAAAAAGTGCTCTACAGGGTTCACCACACTGTCACTGGTGATTACAGAGTTAATTCTATCTACAAATTGTAACGTATGATAGTTTCAGGATGGGGGGCTATAACCAAATTCATCCCAACCATTTAGTAAAGACCTAGAAACTAGTAATAACTAATATTTTATCTAAAGGCTCCATTACGGACCAGCCAGTGAAAACTGCTGTTCATACAGTATATTATTTTCTGAGACCTCAAAGGCTGCCCATAGAGTCTGTGCCTATGCTTTTGTAGTTTGTTGTAAAATGGGTCAGGGGGTTCATGTGGCTCACAAACAGATGTCAGCATGGTGTGGTACCTGGAAACAGTTTCAGTTTGACGTAACAGGCATGATACACCTCCACTACATCTTGTGAAATGTAAAACCAGTCATGAACTGAAGAAAACATTGGGTTTTTTTTTCAAAATAAATAATGATTAATGTGAATAAGGTGGGTGGAGGATTTGAATACCTTTTCAATAGCTTTACGAATATTCGTTGCCAGTATATTTTCAGCCTGGAAAGGAGAGTGAAAATCCATCAGCTTTATGAAAAAATAAAATAGATTAAGCCCAATGCAATGAAGAATTGTTTATCTTTTTAAGTACTGCTTTTCTCTTGCAGTACCATAATAGGAATTCCTAAAGCCCTGTTATTGCTCCTCCTCGGTCTGCTATTTGCTCATCTTCTCCGATGTGTTTGTGGAGGAAGGTTCCAGGCGGCGGCGGCAGCCATGGAGGCCTGGTCTGAGGCCTGGTCCCGGAGTAACAGCTGTACTGCAGCTGCCAGTGGCTCCTGCTGGGGGAGAGTAGCAAAGCCCTCCAGGGTCAGAGCTGTGGTATGTCGGTATCCATGGCAACCGGCGGAGGGCCTGCACTCCGAGAACAATCCCGCTACTCAGGACTAGGACTCTCCACGCTTAGCTCAACACCGGGGAATGTGGCACTCTCCGAGCGGGAAGGGGAGAGAGAGGAGAGAGATAGAGGGGGAGATGGTAAAACGTGGATTTGGGCCTAACAAAACAGTGGTTGTCATGTTACTCTTCCACCCCCTCTCCCCAAAGGGAGGCCTCTTGAGTCTGAGCTTATCTCCAGACTCCAGAACTGGCTGGCCACATTTTAGGGAGTAAAAGTGATTTAATAGACTTCTCTTCCATATTTGGCCCTTTATTGTGTCCTGTTTTTAAACGCTCTATTTCAACCAACTGATCTTTTGACATTGCTTCTGCCTGAAATTCTGACTTAATGCTGTGCATTGGTGATTCCTTAAACACAGCAATGAAAGAGATAAAATTCAGTGGGTTTTTTTTCTCTTTAATAACATAAGCGCTGAAAAAAACACCCATGTGCCCGACTGCATTTCTTCATTTATTCTAGCTGATCTGCCTACATTGTGCCATCAGGGTCATTTTTTTTAAACGGGTTACATTTTTTGTGCCGTGCAATTCCAGGCCCCACTGTCACTGTTCTGCTTAGAGAAGGAAAGGTCTCTTGGGATTTCTAATCTAAATGTTTTAAAGAACTTTCCAAAAACTGTTTTCTGAAAAGATTTTCATTATCTGCCTCTAGATCCCCCCCCAAATTCTTCAAGTCAGAATGTAACACAGGAAGAATGAACAAGACAATCCCCACCCTCTGTCCTTCTGTTCTCAATGTGCTCTACAGATTTTATATGCTGGATAGCATATCATGTACATTTTGCATTTTACTAAGAATACTAATTGTCTAAGACGTAAAGTAGATCCTACAAAAGAATGACTATTATTGTGTTGGAAAAGCTGTACAACACCTTGAAGTATTAAGAGGGTCAGCAAAGGTATGTCTCCAGCATCTTCATAAACATCCTGAAGCTGGGGGTACTTCATATTTTTTTGATGAAAAAAAACCTCAGTGCCACACATTTGTACACGTTGCAAGACTGTACAAATTCCATCCTAACGCTTGCTCTCTCATTGGAAACCCTGTTCAAGCCGAATGAAATGTTTCACAGAAAAAAAAAAATACTTTCAAAAAGGAACAAAGGACCGGAAATTTGTAGGGGTACAATGTTGTAGGAGGAAAGCTTTATCATGGCTTCGTTTAAGCAGCCTGAAGAAAG